TAGGGCTTCAGGGTTTAGGGCTTTGGGGTTTAGGGGTTTAGGGTTTAGGGCTTTAGGGTTTAGGGCTTTAGGGTTTAGGGGTTTAGAGGTTTAGGGTTTTAGGGTTTAGGGCTTAGGGTTTGGGGTGAAGGGTATCAAGGGCTGTAGGGCGACACGAGTGACGCTGATGATTGAGGGCTTGGGGGTTCAGGGTATCATTATGATAATGATCAGACTGGCTACTTTAGGTACTTTCAGTTGCAATACTACTTGCTGACTTTCGCCGGTGCTTAGGAGCCGCTGCGAACCGAGGCTGTTTACAGACTGTGTTTGTGATTAACACATTGACTCTACAGACAGAAGCTTATGATCGGGTCCGTATACGGGGCGACAGACCAACAAGATGGGGTCTCACAGTGAACGCATTCATCAGCAAGGTGGGGATCCGTCCGACGAAAACCGGCAGCCCGACAGACCTCCTTCGTCAACACTGACAGGTTGAGCACGTGAAGCGAGTCCAAAAACTCCAAATGCCTCAAATCCGTGTTCCACTCAACCACTACATCGAAAACACACAATACGTCCAAAGCCTCAACATTATGTATCTAGAAGTTGACGCCCAACCCCAAACGCCATAAAACAAAGCGCAACTTGCCCCAATGAAAGTTCTGGCCTGGAGATAGCAGGCACAGAGTAGGCCTGCGGTGGTAAACGCGTAACTGGCCACCTCCAAGTCAAGCTCTATAGGGATTTGGCTTTAGGATTTGTTTGTTCGAAGCCCATGCAAAACTCCGAATTTGCACCGTTTGCATTCGCTTGAAGGGGTGTGCCAGGGACTGGGGAGCTCCGGGGATCAAACTTGTCGGCTTGCTGAAAGGCTGCCGTACCCGAAACCTGTAACCTTTTATCCCGGAACCTGCGAACCTACGAGTAACAACTCTACATCCTCAACAAAACTGTAGATCTGGACCCTTCGCTCGACATCCCCAAGACAAGGCTCCTCCCGAAGCCCCGAAGCAGAAGCGGCCGTACACCAGATTTCCCATACAGCTTGTCGACGCAACGCTTCAAGTGACTATGTTATATATGACATAAGTGACATAAGTGACATAAGGCAATCCAGGACATTTTTGTTGAGTGGTTCTTCTCTGGATGAGGATCCCTTCGTCATTCGTGGCTCTGTGATTTTGGAGGGACGTGAACTACTAGGGATCCCAAGCGCAAATAAACACGAGCCAGGTGCTCCTCGACAGGACATTAGCTTGTGGACGCGTCAGGATCAGTTCGTGCCGAGGTTTACAGGGACCTTATTACTAAAGGCACGAGAGCCCTAAACCCGCAACTAACTGCTAAATCCGCATACATTCTCGCGCCCCAAACCCTAACCTCGCTATAGCCAAACTCTAAATTACTCTAAATCTCTAGAATCTACAATCCCGGAACCCTACACCTAAACTTTAACCCTCCCTACACGTTAAACCTGTGCCCAAACTCAGTCAAAATCCTTAAACCCAGACCATCCCTAACCTCCGCTATAACAAACCCCCCATTCAAGGTTCAGTGGCTCTTAAACCGTAAACCCTCAATCCAGGGGCCCCCCCACCAGCGGCCTGAAAAGCACCCACTGCGTCCACAGCCGGTTGGACCAGAACGGACCAAGTCCGAATTCCTACGACCAACCTGGATTCTTTGGGGGTGCATGGTTCCAAGGCTTATTATGCAGGGGTAGGGTTAGGCCTTAGGGCTTATTTGGGCTCATTTGGGGGATTTCGGCGTGGTGGCCTTCAGGCTTTCCGGCGGAGCTCGCTCTCGTTGGGCAGTCCATTTGGGTCTTGGCCGAGGCCTGGAGTTCATGTTAAAAACTCTTCCTGGCCCTCGACTCTGCTCACCCGTGGTCACCCGAGGTGTGGCGATAGACAGCGTTGTGCAAGGCTGATCGGCCAAACCGGTGTCCTTCCACCAGGCTGCTTGTCAGCGGATTCTTTTCTTGCGCCGCATGCTCACCCTCCTCCATCTGCTCAGGCGTCTCCGTCGCGGCCTTGCGATGTGGACCCTTCTGTCTGGCTCCTCCCTTTTGGGCTTTGCTTCGGCGGGTGTGCCCCGATGCCGCGGGTGCCTCTACGGTCTACGCTTGCCCGGCTTGGATTCGGCACCCTTATCGCCCTACCCCGGACCTTGTCTCCTGCTGCGACTTCTCTGTCTCATGACTCTCCTTTGTGGGCACGCCCAACGCGTCTCGCCGCCCCTCACCAATACTCGCTGCTGTTCATCTTCAATTTGGTGGTGAATGAAGTGAAGTGAAGTTTTATAGGGAGGGTTGGTACAGGCACCTGGCCCTCATCTGCAGGCCTTGGGGCTGTCCCTAACTAGGAGTGCCTGACTAGCCTGACTAGCGCATCGAGGGTCTGTGCTTTTAAAGTTCTTTTACCGCTTACGAAAAAGAGGGCTGTTTGTCCCTAAACTTTGCATCCCGAATCCTACGCGCAACCCCTTCGAACCAAAGCCTGAAAAGCCACAAGCCTTAGACTCTAAACTTGAAACCCCAAAACTAGAAGGTCTTCATCCTCAAGGTAGGTAGCAGCCAGACCAGCGCCATGAGGGCTCCATCCACCGACTTCCTAGCTTCCAGGGCTGCCAAAAGGGACCCGCTTGAAGATGAATGGCTGCTGTATCCTATCGATCTACCTATCTACATATGTATCTATCTACCTATCTATCCATACACGATTACAGTCTTGCGCTATTCAAGCTGCTATTCGTGCAGTCGAGTCGAGGCGATTCCTTAGAGTGGGAGGTTACGTGTTCCTGGCCCTCTCCTGCAGTTTGGCCTAGACTATGTAAGGTATGGTAGGCTAGCCATGAGAACTAGGGGACCTCAGGTATACTCCCTACCACGGTCGTTTATGAAGGGCTTTTTTCGTCAGAAGCACGTGGCCAAAATCGAACTTCTCTCTCGAAGCTCTTGAAATCAAGCAGGGCCGACGTTCTCAAGCATGGGAAGCAAAATTGGGGCCAAACCTCTTAATCGCCCAAACCTTCAACAAGCTCGCCATCTCAAGCCCCAGCTACCCTGACCTAGCTGAATCCTACACGAAGAGGTTTTCATGCTTAGGGTGAAAACCCAAGTTGCGAAAAAACACCCGAAATCTATCTAAATCCTAAAGCGCGTCCATGCTCTCTGCCAGCCGGGTGTCTGCTTGGCCCAATAGACAGACAGGCCGGCTCCCTCGATGTATTCCTTCATTGAGGTTTAGGGGTTTAGGGTTTAGTTTTGTTGTTGCGGGCCCGTTTCCTCCGTGCAACTGTTGGAATACCTGGTAGGTCCGTAGAGTCCAGTATGAGGACTGAAAGGCCAGCCTCAAACTCAAGTCAAGCCTTCCAGGGTTTAGGGTTCGGGGTTTAGGGGGAAGGGGTATCGAGTCAAGTGCTGCAGAAAAAAATGCATGGTTACTTTTAGCATCCAAAAATAACGAGCTGCGCACTTGGAGGACTGAGCTGTCAAAAAAAAGACGGCATAGTTTTCATTGGGTTCACCTGTGAATCAGTGAAGTGAAGTACTGCCGTGGCAGACTAAAGGCATAATAAGACCAAAGCTAGTTCTCAGAATACTAGCAGTAAGTCAATAAGTACAATAGGAACTTGCTTATAGGACACCTATGCTGCACTAACAATGAGAAGAAGACAATAGCCAACAGCAGCATTAACCACGGGAACAGCTCTAATACTACGATTCATAAATCCACTTAGAGCGACACTGATAACAGCAGTAAGAGCTTCGTCATTGCCATGTTGGCTGTGATTGTGGACAGAACACATGGTAACAAAGTAAGGGCCTGCACCCTAAATCGATGGCCCTTGAAGTCTTAGTCTCGTCAGCATGTCTAAAACAAAAGCAGGAATGTAGACGCCCAATCAACCTTCCGCCTTCCGCAATATTAGGATACCGGTGACAATCCTTGCCAAGATAACGAACGAGGTTTAAAGAAGAGACGTCTACAGCAATGCTGAAAAGCCCAATTAATGGCCATGGGCCATGGGGGCTTCGGCGTCACACTGTAGGAACCCCCAATCACGAGAGCTTGGAGGTTGTTGTGCGATGGACATATTCGGGCATCCTACGCAGGCCCCATTGGTCTAGGATTTAAACCGTAGTGTCCGCTCTTTCGCAGCCGTGGCTCCGCAAGATGTTCGGAGATCTGCATCTGCGCTTCCGCCGTCTTCCGGTAGCCTGAGGCAACGAAAACTAAGAAGAACGATGCTCCTGCTCAGCATGTCAATATGAAGAGGGTGCAGGAATATGTGTGCACATTTTTGGGTGCACAAGCATCCTCATAGACAGGAGATGTGGTACGTCCATATCGCACGCACTGTGCCCGTGCGGGATGTGTGCCAGCAATGCTACCCACTAGTTGAGGAGCCAAAGAAAGCATCGACACAGCTGCCGCATTGACAGTGGTGTAAGCCCAGGGCTCACTTCCGAGGTTCAGGCGACGGGGTCTACAAATTTTTAGTGCCGGAATTTCCCATTTTCACTCCCGATCGGTTTGACACCGGCGAGCTTTCTGAATCAAAGTCGGGGTGTAGTGGTTGTTGGGTTGTGCCGCCATGAAGTTATGACCCTTGACACTTGAAGGAGAAGGGTCTCACTTCAGAGATTGCGCTCGAAAACCTTTCCGTCGCCGGGCACCCTGGCCCAAACTCCATGCATTTTGGAGGCGTCGGGTGCTGAAATGGGGAATCTAATGAAGCTTTGTCTCCAAAAAGGGATTGAGGATTGATAGACTGCGGTGCTTTAGAGCCACCTCCCTCGCCCCTCAGCCTTCAATACTACAGCAAAGGCAGAAGCCCTACAATGCTGGAATCTTCAATCTCTGGGCCACAAGCACCGCGACACACGTCCCCAGACTTCAGGAGGTCTTTGCGTGCCCAGCAGCTCAGAATTCCGCCGCAGGACCAGAGGGCCACCAAGGTGCCAAGACAAATCCTAAGCAGCCCGAGTGTCTCGCTCGGTGTTAACATTCAAACACCCCGTTTAGAAAATATTATTATAAGCATTCTCAAATTAAGAAGGACAGAGTTCTCTTCGTACTATGTCCGCCGAATTAAGGCCCTACTTCGGCGAAGAGTACTGTGCACAACAGGGCCAACCTCAGTTGTGTAGTATCTGCCCGCGATAGGCTCCCTCGCGGTGCATGTTGTGGCATACGGTGATAGCGATGGGGATCGCGCCGGGGCTGAGACATACATGCATGCATGCATGCATACATACAGTATAAACACAAACATAGGCGCCGCAAGGAATAGTCTTACTCAGGGTTCCAGGCTCTAGGGAAGCTAAGGGTTTGAGGTCTATCACTCTTGAATAAAACGTACTGGCCCTAATCGCATGCTTTGACTGCATCGTTTCTGGCTTCGGGAGGCTTCCGTAAGGCATGCGGACAAAGAGTCATGCAATCTGTGGCCAAGGCGGAAACGCAGAAGAAATGTGCTTCTGCCCCTGTACACACCACCTGCTCTGCGCCGCTAGCAAGCAGGCATCCAATGGCCAGAAACCTCGGATGCTTCAGGGAGAAATGGCTTTTTGGCCCCTCCGTTTGTTTGATTCTATCTTGAATGCTTCAGACCGTGGTCTTGTTCCTACAGACGGGCATTGCAAAATGAACCCTAAACCCAATCCCGAATTAATCCCTACATCCCTATAAGCTTGACCCGAAACCCAAAAGCCTGAAGGCGTAGACTGAAGAAATTGGACTGCTTGCGACCTCAAACTGAAGCGCTCTAAGCGCTGGGACCATGCATCGCGCGCAAGACACATACACTAAGCCCTCTATTTAAACCGAGGTCTCTCTAAAGTGCCTCCAAGCTGCCCGCGTCATCGATGACACGTGCATCCACAGGCAAGAAACGTGAAAGCTTACTACAGCTCAGCAAAACCGAGACCGTTTTTGAGCATGGGGCTTCCCTAAACTTCAAAAAACCTTTTTGCAACTGGCCTGCAATGCTTCCGAAATCCTTAAACCCCTCTAGGAACAAAGCCCTGACAACGTGGGCCGAGTCACAAAACGCAGCAGTGGTAGATTTTGGAAATTGCAAAAGCTTTTGGCGACAGCTTCCAAGGCGAGATCGTGCTGCTCTGCACCTTGCTGGGGTATTCGTGGTTGCTGCAGGGTGTGAGGGTTCAGGTGCGACGATACCAAGAATACACATAATGACACACACAATAGCAGTAGTAATTCCTACTAATATACTACTAACAACAGCATACAACAATAATAGCCGCAGGAAAAGCAAAACATAGTTGGTCTTCGAGGCTGAAGGCTTCTGGGAGATGTGGGCTCTTGCCGTTGTGGCGGCTTGTGGAGGAAAGCAGCGGATCCTCGCTGAACATCCACATGGGTAGTTCACTAAACCTTTTTTGGTCCCCAAAATAGTACGGCACCCTTATAAAACAAGGACCCAAATTTAGAGAGCTACACACATACTGCACTCGAAAGCCATGAAACATCAGCCCTAGCTCCAGAACCAATGCTCAAGACCATCAAGCCCAAAAGAGCGCTTGCTAAAGACCTTGTAGGATGCCTAAGGAAAACGGCAAATCCGGGTAACATGTAGACCCTGTCAAGCCCTTGAAGAGAAATCTGCACGCTTGAGACCCGAAGCCCCAAACCTAATGAGACCCAAAACCGTAAACTTAGACCCCAAACCCTGCGCTTCAACCAAGAACTTAGCCCCCAAACCCTGAACGTAGACTCAACAATCCCTAAACCCTAAACCCCTTGTGAGCCTTCCCCTGAGCCACAGGGATGAGCCCAATGAGGCGGCAAAGGATGTGAATGAAACCGAGCCAGGCTCGAATCCTGGGGATGTTGGTTTCGGGATCAGGGTGTAAATTTGGAGTTGGGGTTTTTTGCCTCCTACTTAGCAAGGACGAGCCCGCATTGCAGGGTAGTATGACGTCTGAGAGCATGCGTATCAAGCTTACCGTTCAGCTCGATAAATTATGTGGAGAGGCTTCTTTCAGGCCATCCACAACAGTTGGGGTTTGGGGTTGAGGGTTTAGGCTTTAGGGGTTTTGGGGTTTAGGCCTTTAGGGTTTAGACTTTATGGATTAGGGTTTCCGGTCTAAGGCTTCGGTTTAAGGGTTTGGCAATTTGGGTTTAGGATCATCGGTGTTGGTTTAGGGATGTTTAGGGTGTTCAGGGTTTAGAGCTTAAGGCTCCAAGCTCGAATCCTGGGCTTTTGGCGAGTCCTTTTGTAGCCTAGGGTTCAGGGATCAGGGTTGGAGGGTTTGAGAGATTAGGGCTTACGCTCTCACAACTCGGACAAGCCAGCCGAGGTTCCAGGGCGACGCGTGGCATGGTTTGGGGTTTTAGGGGTTAGGGTTAAGGGCTATATGTTTTACTCATAGCATGTTAACTCCCAAGTATTCCGCGATGCGTGGAGAAGTACCACCAAGCCCTGACCCCCTGTTCGAAGCGCCCCCTTCGGCCCCTAAGCCCCCCTACAGAACCCGTTGAAACCCCGCGTTGAACATCGAATGGGGAGCCAGGGCACGAGAGAATCGGCTGCTCGGCTGACATCAACTCTTCCTTCGGTGACTCCTTGGTACAAGAGCTCCCTTCCTTAAGTTCTCAGATCGGGGTTGAGAGGACTCCCCAGGCAAGGCATGAGTTCATGTGTCTGTTGGGCGAGATTCGCAGACATGGCTTTGACAACAAAGGTCGCGAGATCACAGAAATCATCATAAGAAGAAGTGTAGCCCTTTCCGGCCTTCATGACCATCCTGAGCAGCCCCTTAAACCCGAAAACCTGAACCCCAAACCCTAATCATGGAGCCCCTCAGGCTTCATACTGGCACTGTTGGTATAGATGCACAGGGACCGCATGATAAAAAAACATTTGGCAGAACCATGAGTTTTAAAACCCCTACCTTGAACGGTATGATTGTGAGCATCTTAATTCTTATATAAAGGCCGTAAGGAGACGGCATTTATCATAACGGTCTACGATCCACATTAATAAAGATTGTTTGGGGCTTACGGGTACAAGCTTGCTTCAATGGCATTGGTTTATTAAACTCTTAGATCCTGGCCTTGGTTCCCAGTTACGGCTTTTGCTTAAATTTTCGGTGCGATCTATATTTATGCGCAGGGTCGTCTAGGAGTGCTTCGTTGTAGGTTCTTGAAAACTAGCACAAAGTACAACTCAAGCCGGGCCCTGCAACCGAAAGAGATTGGAACCCTAAACCCTAAAACCCCCAGGGCCCTGAACCCTTAACCCTGAACCCTTGACCCTTTGCCTTGAACCCTGAACCGTGAACCCTAAACCCAAAGTAGGCTTCTACATTGCAGCTTGGCGTTGAGGGGCTCGGGGCTCCGAGGTTGTTAGCGCTGAGCCGGAACCCGATAAGTCTTGAATCCTGTACCTGAAGCCCAAAGCCCCGTCAAAAGCCCTGTCATCCCGAAACGATAAACCCTACTCCATAACCTGGAAACCTCATATAGGGGCCCTTAACAAGTGGAGTGGGGTCTTAGAAGGCTTCCTGAACGGAGTTGAAAAGCTTCTAGGCAGCTGTACAAGGTTTCTTCTACCCTAACAATCATAAGGAGCACCAAGGAATACTATTGGTACTTCTCCCGACCCTCTTATAGTGCACTCAACCCTGAACCCGAATAGTGCATTAAACCCTTTTACTCCTGGACTACGATTAAACCCTAAGCCCTAAACACTAATAGTGCACTAAGGCCTAACCCGTAAACCTTAAACCGTTACTTAAACCCCTTTTTGAAGGACCAAGGCTGTTCTGCCCAGCTTCGGGTAACTCGATGAACTCCTCATCTTCCTGCTTCGGCTTGGGGTTTCGGGCTTAAGGTTTAGGGTTCAGGGCTTAGGGCTTAGGGTCCGCCTGACCCTGGCGGCGTGTTGGATGGGTCTCTGGAGGTGTTAACCTCCCTTGCACAATCCCGCACACCAGGCGCCCCTAGGCAGGGGGGCTACTTTCGGCCCCCAGGCTGGGGGCCCCCGGAGCCTCCAGCGAGCACATTTCAGGGGTGGCCAAAATCACGATTTTTGGGCTTTTTGCTCCTTTTCTTGGCGCCTCCTTCCCCCCCCCCTGGCCCCCCCCTGACCCCCCCTGCCCCCCTGGCCCTCCCTGAACCCCCCCGCGTCCCCTTCCACCCGAAACCTGCTAAAAACTCGAAGACTGCAGTCAGTCGACAACTTCCTAGACCGCATCCAACCGCAAGACCAACCTCCTCTTAAGCCACACCTCCGAGCCCCCCAAACCCGCAAGCT